CTGCTGTAAACCATGTGCAAACTCTGAAGCATGTAGACCAAGAAGCCAGCCTGTTATTTCTTCACGAATGCTGGTAGAAGACACAAGTCTCCTGAGTCAAAGACAAAATACTTTATTACTCATGGTAAAAACATTAAGCAGAACTTTGTGTGGGTTTGGGTCAATTTTTTGTAGTCCTTGCTCCCTTGAAGGAGCACAAGGGGCTTGTTATAGGAGGAGACAAAGAGCACAGGGATCTATCCATTCTCTCTGAAGGGTGATGTTACTTTATCTCTCAAGGTTGCTCATTGCTTGCTACCCTGAGAAAAGCCCCAGGTTTAAAAGAGTTATTTTAGGAGCCTCTTCAAGAATGTGTGGGGACATTCAGGCGCCATTCTGCTCCAACAATTAAATAAACCATGGCTGACTTAGCCTCTCAAACTGAAGTGGTGATGCTCACTATTTTACTGGCACTGAGAGGACCATCAAATGTGCTTTCATGTGTTAAATAAATGGTCATATGTTATACATATTGTTTAATAATGATACTATCCTTATATGTGATTAGCATACTAAGTAGAATTCCATAGAATTCAGAGTAATTTAATATAGTCCTATAATAAAATAATCAAAATGATTGGACATTTAAGATAGAAAAGTGTAGGTGAATAATTTAGCACATGAAGAGAAGAACATTGAAAAAATATTTCCCAGAGTTCTGACTGAGAAATCAGGTGAAAGAAAGTGAACAATTTAATTTGGTGAACAATACTGGGGATATTGGGTTTAGAGGGCAGGCATTCAAGTGTTCGGTCTTAGTTGTGTATTGCCTACTAAATATCCAAATGAAGATAGTGAATAGGCAATGTTATGTATAAGTCTGCAACTGATGAGACTAGTCAGAGTGGGAGATGTGAATTTGGGACTCATCAATGTATAACAGCTTTTAAAGCATGAGTCTAAAAAAAATTATTCAGGGAATGCGTGTAGAAACAGCATGAAAAAAATAAAAAGGTGTCTGAGGAGTGAACTTTGAAACACACCAATATTTGCAAATAAAATGTTGAGGAACATAGAGGAGACTAGGAGACCTGGCAGAGCAAATCATAAAGGAAGAAACATCAGGAGGGAGAACCCGGAAGCCGAATGTATAAGTTTTCAAGAAGGAGAGGACACTTTGACAAAAGCAGCCATGAGTTTAGGCAAGGTGTGAATGGAGAACAAACTCCAATGTAGCAATGCCGTGAGGAGTGAGCATCTTTACAAGATCACTTAGGCTCAGACAGTGGGGATGAAACCCAGATTGACTGGGTCTGAAAGGATCAGAGGGACATTGGAGGGGGGCAGTGGACAGAGAATACCTGCCAGAGGTGGCTTTTGTTTTAGTTTTTCTGTAATGGGAGCCATAGCTGCATGCTTGAATATGGATGGTACAATAGAGAAGGAGACACACAGCTGACAGGTAGTCACTGTGCAGATATCTGAAAGCCAGAAACAGCCCCGGGCCAGGAATACCTACTTCACACCTTTATGGTTCTCATTCCACTTATCCCATTCTCAAATAAGTACCTTTGTGTGACTGGGTTTACGATCTCTGTGATCAAGCTCGTAATGTGAGAAAGACCTTACATAAGATAACATGGCAATGACAGTACTGTTTATTTCTTAATAAATGAAAACAGTTCCTTCAAGTTTTTCTGGGAAGTGTTTGCTAAATCAACAAGGAAATATAAGATGGTTTCTCCCCATGTCCCTTTGTTTATAAATATTAATTCCATAAACAACAGCTCATTTTATTCCCCAAAGAGCAGACTAAACGAATGTTCACTTTAACCAGAAAACAGGTTTTTTTTCTTTCTTTTTTTTCCCCTTCCATTCATGGAAGCAGAGGAATGCAAGAGAGAGGAAAGTAGAGATAAGAACAAGTTGGAAACCAGTCTCACTACCTGTAATTTTCCCGACCTTGTTGTCAAATGAGCCTCACAGTTGAGCATGACTATGTGGTATTGTGATTATTGTGCCAAAGTCAAGCAAAATGTGAAAATTTACTTGTGCTTTCAAAATATGTTTTTCAGTACTTGGAAAACTAACAGTTTTTTTAGTCTACTTGGATGGTAACAAGCTTATTTATTTTTCTAAGCCTTATCAAATTGCTTCCCAGGTAACCTAAATTAGAAATTTTCCAATGAGATAAAATAGGTGTCTTTCCCAAGGTATCTTTCTTTTTCTCCCTCTCTTTCCCAACCAGAGACCTGGAATCCTAGAATGTAACATCAAGCCAAGCTAAATATGGCATGTGCCCTGCCTCAGATGGATTGAAGAAAGGAAGAAGAAAGAGTGAGGGAGTCAGGCAGTGTTTATTAAATAATTCCTACTGAACATGACAAGATAACTAGGAATTCAAGGAGACAGGACAAATTCTAAAAGGAACATGTTTAAACAAACACCTATTTTTATGAGTTTTATTAAGTATGTACTTTTTCAAACTGAAGTTGATCTGGGTAGTAGGCCACACTTGCTTCGTGGAGTTGACCAGTGTGACTTATTTATTTAGTTCCTTCCCTTCTGGATTATCTGTCTAGTGGAAGGAATTCATAGTAGCTCCCATGACCTATCTTTAGTTTTGCGTCTTATATTTCCAAATACTGGGCACTTCCCTGTTATTTACTAACTGAACCTGTCAGGAAAAATCATGTGACAGAGCAGTAAACGTCTTTAAAACACATTGTATAACTTTAAAAATTGCATCAATTTTGTTTACTTTTCCTTGAACTATTTATTAAGCTAGTGGCTTCATGGAATATGGAACTCAGTAAAATCGCTCATCTGTGAAAACCACATGTTTGCACTCATTTTCATTTACATAAGTTAAAAATTACAGAACATGTGTTGATTGGGAAACTGTTATTACCTCCTATGTTATTTCAAAGTGGTAGACTGAAATACAAATAGCATACAAGATGTGACTTATACCAATTTTGGTGAAAATCAGTTTGTACTTCAGAAAGTTAAAATGAAAAGTTAAGTCAAAAAAATTCCCAGAGGTGTACTAATGGAACAGAATTAATGACCTACTTTAAAAAAATGTGTGTGTGTGTGTGTATGAGAGAGAGAGAGAGAGAGACAGGGAGAGAGAGAGAGAAAGAGTTTATATTGTCAAAAGCATTCTCTCTTTGGCTTTGTTATGTGTGGTGATGGAGATTGAATCAAGGGCCTTGCACATGCTAGGCAAGCGTTCTACCACAAAACTACATCTTTCAGCCTTATAAAGCATACTTAATGACAGGTGGAGAGGAAAGATGAAAATCAAATTGCAGGGGAAATACCTCAACATATATACCCCTGCCCTCCATAAAGCCCAACAACCTTCCTATCCTTGTAGTCTTCAAGGAGATAGAGATAGCAATCCATGCACCAAGGAAGAACCTTGGTGATCCTTCACGCCTCACTCTTACCCCTTCTCACCTGCCCAATATCATATACTTTTAAGTAACTAGCTAGTAGTTGCTTTTATATCCATAAGTTTCCCTTCATTTTCCTTTTTCTAAAATTATCTGATTACATTTGCTCTTCCAGATTAATTTTTAAAGTTTTTCTTATTGTTGTGCTGGGGGTACACTGTGACATTTACAAAAGTTCTTACAATATTTCAAATATATTTAAAATCAACCTGTCAAGTTCCAAGGTTCTGTATAAAATCCTTAAGAATATATTGTTGGAGTTGTATTGAATATATATGCTAATTAAGAGAAAAATGTCATAATAAAGACAGTTATCTAGTAACTGTCTTTTTAAAACTCAAATCTTTGAAATATTCTTTAGTTAAGTTTTATAATTACTATAAAGGTCTTATGCATTTCTGGTAGGTTTTGTACATTTGAATATATATATAGTAAATATATATACATAGAATATATTTAATGCCTAAATAATATAGTAGTATATATAGCATACTATTATATGCTCATATATGAGTTATACAAACACACATTATGAATTTTTTCATTGATATTATTTATTCTTCATATTTTTAAATTAGTATTGGGATGGATTATGCATGGTGATTTTATATTAGTCTCTTTGTTCAACTTCCTTGTAATTTTTAAATTAAAAGGGATTACTTAGCTTTTAGAAGGAAAAATGTAGATCATCCATTAGCAATAAAAACCTTTTTACTTTGTTGTCTGTATTTATACATCTGCCTTTTCTTTGTCTAGTATCATTACTGACTAAGACATGCAGGGAACTTCCTTCTGTGGTTCCTAGGTCTGAGGGAAATCCTTTTAATATTTCACTATTAAATGAGATGTGCACTACAGATTTCCTGTAGATGCCTTTTATGAGGTTAGGGAGTTTCCCTTTCTTTCCTAGTTTACTGAATAGCTTGTAATTTTTCTATTTCCAAAGTTCACCTCTGAATATGATCAGACTCACTCCATGCCCTTTCTGACTGTCATGTGGTGTCTCCCAGGAGGTGCTTCTCGACATCTTTCAAGATTCCTACCGAGTGCTTCCTCTGTGTGCAGTTTTCCTTGACCCACTCCCTGTGTTTCTCTCTATCATCCTCTTCTGCTTACTTTGTAACTACTTTTGGATGCATCTGACTTTTCCAAGGCCCTTAACTATTCATCTTTGTGTACTAAATTCCAGAGCCCCTGCCATGTGTGCAGTAGAAGCTCAGTTAAAATTATCTTAATGAATGAGTAAATGAAAGAATCATTGAAAGATTTTATTGTGGATGATATAAGAAGTACGTGACTCATCTGAACGAGATGATAACTTTATTATTTCTTACATTTACTTGTTTTATATTGGGACATAGTCTTTTAAAAATAAGCCAGCTTATTGAAAAGGAAGAAGTTAACAAAATATTACATTTACTCCCTTAAATCTGAACAGCAAAATATTGTTTGTTGTTGATCATCAAAATTTAGGAGACAATACGTTATTCTTGAATTTTTTATCTATAGGAAAATTAACTTACTTTTATTTATTTAGTTGTGTGTTTTGTCTGTTTGAAGGGAATAACTATCCGACCACTGGTGGAGTTTCTTGATGTGAAGAGATCCAATAAGAAGCAGCAAGCTGTCAGTGAAGAAATCCATTGTCGGGTAAGTGTGGACAGTGTAACAACTTAAATGGTAAAAGAAAAAAATACTTGAATCATTCTAGCAACTTGACTCCAAATTGTTTATTTGGGGAGAGGGAGGGAAATGGCAGAGTGCTTGAGGAAGTGAGGCCTCAAGTTGGAGAACAGAATGTTCATAAATCCATGATAGCATAGCTAAGCCAGCTTGCTAAACTCCTACATGGATAGAGGTGTAAGAAAGGGCCTCTTTTTACAACCTGCAACCTCAAAATGTTTCTATTGGGCAATTATCACAAGTTTTTATGTTTACCAAAATTGCAACTGAACTACAATAATCAAAATATTTGAAGCATTGCCTAATATCAATATGACAAACATCTCAATTTGTTTGAAAAAAATATTGATTTATTGCTTTCAATAAAACCAATAAAAAAGAACAAAAAGTAGCAGGGTTCTCGGAGCTTAGGCAAGATAGAGTGAAAATGACTGATTTCAAGTAGAAACTAATCAATTAGCCTGCTTTTTCTGTTTTAGTTTTTTGATCATGTGAAGACTGGAATTGAAGATGTTTGTGGACACTGGGGTCACAACTTCTGGAGAGACAAGTAAGAAGGCCTTATGACATTGAATGGCTTTAGATCACTCTGGAAGCAGGACATATTGACTTGTCCTGTAAAGTTCAGCTTATAACAGAGATGTAGAATAATAGTAGCATAAACAAAGTAGAAGCTTATTTCTGTCTTATGTAAATAACCAGAGAGAGGTGATTAAGGTTGAATAGATGAGCTGTACTCCACAGAGTCCTTAGAGTTGACTAACCAAGGGTGCTCTCCATTTCCAAGGTTGCTTCTTGGGCCAGAATTGCTACTTTGGTGACTGCTATTCTAGGCTGCAGGAAGAGAGAAAGATAACAAAAAGACAGAGGACATCTGCTACCCACCTCCTAACAGAAATTATCAGAAGCTGTCACAAAATTCCACCACTGGGAACTAGTTATACGGCCATTCCTTACTGTAAAACAGTCCTGAGGAATGCAGGAACCAGTTTTTGGTTGAAAACAGGGGAGCCCAATGCTGCCCATTTTGCCACACATGGTGAGAGGCTTAGTCAAACGAAGAGATTCAAAGCACCTGAGGATAAAATTAGACTAGTAGAAATAACTATACATATTTTAATGGCTTCATTTATCTGAAAGATTACATATGTTTATGTAGATATCACACACACAAGTACACACACACAGAATTTACTTCTTTCTAAAAGGCTCTGGTGGATAGATATGAGTTAGTACTTCTCTCTCTGCATGGTTCTTATAGTTGAAGTGGAAAAAATAAGACTAGCCTGGCAGAATTAAATAGATGCTGTAATAAAATCTGAAACATAGCGCTATGGAATTAAGAAGCACAGATTAATGCTGGCAGCAGAGTTTGGAACAGTGGGTCCAAGGAGCCCTCACTGGCTAATAAGGGCCCTCTTCCTGTCTACCCACTCAGTGCCATCCACAGTTGCCTAAAGTGACTATGTTAGGACTGCTACAAACAGGGCCCTTTTTCTCATAGAGAAATTTGTTGTGTATTTGTCAGCATATTACTGGATAGGCAAGATTTTTGAAGGAGGCATCATTTAAGCTGGACTAATTCAGAACTCTATTTCAAGGACCCTCCTTGCTTTTCCTTCCTAACTTGCTAACAGATGTTTTTCCCTCACTACTAATTTATATGAATTTGGCCAATCTGCCAATCTATTTAATTTAACACGAGAGAATTTTTTAATGCTGTTTATTCACATGATTGACATGGTATTGGACTACATTTGAAGAACAAATTATGGGCTCAGGACTCTAAAACTTTGCACCAAAGCACTCATACAGTGAACAGGTGTGTGTGTGTGTGTGTGTGTGTGTGTGTGTGTGAGAGAGAGAGAGAGAGAGAGAGAGAGAGAGAGAGAGAAAGAATGTCCTTAAGGAATACAATGAGCTACAAAGACCTTAATGCCAGAACAACTTTTACAAGGTTTATAACACTGTTTACTGATATAGAAAAGCTCTTTCTATAAGACTGAACCTTATTTCATAAGCAAAGGAAAGATATTTTATGTGTAGGGAGAAAGTCTACTTAGTCACACAGGAGCACAAGGTAATAAAGCGAACTAAAATCTGCATTTGAAAAATATGAAAAAACGGTAGTTACTTCTCTTGGGAAACCTTCCCTTCCCTGAAGGTGAACCAGACAACCCAATATGTCTGCCTCACGACTCTCTACCCAACCTTATTTTACACGCTAGAATCTTCCTTACACAGGCAGGTCCTGGCCTGTGCCACACCAGTGAAATAGACTTTCTTCCCCTTTTTCCCCCTTGTTTTTGTTATCATGCCTCTTTCCCACCTATCTTCTCCCTTTTCCAGCCAACCACTTTTTTCCTTTCTCTCGATTCCTATCAGTACTTTCCCGAAGTGATGAGTGAAAGGCGTAATGCAGACCAGCTTGTTTCCTTTCAAAAGTGAAGACTGGGCTCCACATCCTTACCACTCCTCTGCCTCCCAAGTTGGGGAGAGAGTAGGCATGAGTAGGCTCGTGAATCATGACAGCAGTCCCTGCACACTATTAGAGGAAGAAGAGGTGAGCACTGTAGTCACTTATCTGCTTTTGGTCTGGAACTTAGAGGAAGCAACATCAGAGGAAGTCTGGCTCTCTCCTATCTCTCAGGCAGAGTCACTGTCTCTGGGATCCCTGAGTCTGTTCCAGGGAGACCTCTCAAGGCAGCCAGGCTAATTGGACTATGCTAAAGATGGCAGAGCCAACTTTTGTTTCATGTACAAAAGGTAATGTTCCTTATCTAACACTTTTCTCAGCAGTGAATATACTCCATGTAGTAATTCATGAGCATTTATAGCTTTCCATGTGCAATTCCCCCACAAATTTCAAATCATTTCCTAGATTTTCATACATTCTGTGTATCACAGATAGAACAAAGAAGTACGTATGAGAGGCCATTTTTAAATTCAATACTGCACATATTATATCCATTATATCAATGCACTCATGATGTTACTTACGATAGTGTTCAAAAGGAAATGATTGCTTTAGGCACATTGAGTATCTTTCTCTTTCCTCCAAAGTTTTTACACTGTGACTTTCCAATGGTCCTGGCAGCAAATTCTTGAGGCATTTGATCCTTGGGAAATGGGATGAAAGGTAATACAGTGGGGATATTTCTCAGGCTCAGCTAAAAGAGTATAATGATGGTGAAAGAGAACACCTATGTGTAACTTGGCAGAGAAATGAAAGGGGTTGAAATAAAGCAAAGAAAGAAAACACACAGTCCCTACATGTAATAGATCAGATGCCATTGTCTTTCATGTTTACCCTTCCTTTTCTTATCTCTAGTGAAAAGCTAAAAACAATAACAACAATAAAAGAAGTTGGAGGAGATGTTGTGTTGCTATTGAGAATCCTGGCTCAATGGGCCTAACATGAAATTCAAAATAAACATAGTTGAAACAGTAGGCCTAGTCTTTCGTGTCATGGCCAGTCAATAGTAAAGCACAATTGGGATGGCTCTTTATTCAGAGCCTTCCAGTATTTAAAACATAGGACCAGTGCCAAGAACATGGATTTACATTGGTTCCTCTCATGGAACAAGTGTACCTATAAACCTCCTTGGATTTACAGTGATCACTGTAATATACTTCTTTCTTTCTTAACAAATATTTATTGCATGTTGTTTCACTTATATATTGGCACAATAATGTTACATAACAAACCATCCCCAAACTCAGCTGCTCAAAATAGCCATCATTTGTTATTAAAGTAGATGAGGTAAGAGGCTGGGAGTCATCTGGCTAGGTTGGGCTGATCTGCCCATGCTGCAGTGGCTTGGCTGTGGTCACCTGATCCTGCCTGGTCTTGTCTGATGTGACTGGAGTGAAATAACTTTGCTTTATGCATGTGATGTTTACCTTTGCTCATGGCACTCTATGCATATCCTCTCATAATGATTTTGGAAGCATGAGACACAGACTCCAGGGGTAAGGCCCATTTTCAGCCTCTTCTTCCATGTCACTAATAGGCCATTGACCAAAATATTACATTACTGAGCCCAATGATTGGGAATAAAGCAGGTGCTCATTTAGGCCAATTTCTGAGTAATATGGCAGAAGATGTGGATATAGGGAGACAATGGGATCAAATGACTCATCTACTATATATGCTTGTAGTTGTTCCAGGTTCTGCTCCAGGCATGGGTGATATGGACAAAAATAATCCTTGTATATATAGATCTTATGTTCTAATGCTAAGAGACAAAATAATATGAATAATTAAGTCAAACATCATATAAAAGAGTGATAACTGCTTGTAGAAAAATACATCTGGGAAATGAGAGGGAATGCAGGGGGTAGAAAGGTATGCAATTACAACAAGAAGGACAGGAAAGGCTCTTTTGAGAAAATTATCATAGAGGAGACTTAAAGGTGGTGTATGTACATGTCCTGCAGGTGTCTGGGGAAAGAAGGAAGAGTGAATAGAAAGCACATAGGTGGCAAGTATCTAAGACAGAAAGGATGAGTGAGGTTGACGTGAGGAAGAGGAGTATCATGCTAAGAGGCAAAGATCCAGGCTGTGCAGGACTCATGGGCCACTGCATTTTCATTCGTTTGACAGATGTTTTAATAGGAGCACTCTGGTGTCTGTGCTTCAGTGGTTAAACCAATAGGAATTGCTAATACAGTAGTTATAGAATGTTCATCTCCCAGGGCTGCCATACAAATATTCAACACAGTAGATGGCTCAAACAACAGCCATGAATTGTCTCAATTCTGGAGGCTGGAAGTCAGACAGCAAGGCATCACAAGGTTGGTTCCTTTGAGGGGTAAGAAGGAAGTATCTGTTTCTGGTCTCTCTCCTTTTCTTGCTGATGGCTATCTTCTCCCTGTGTCTTTACATTGTCTTACCTCTGCACCTGTGTATGTCCTAATATCCTCTGAGGATCTGCTCTAATGACTTCATCTTAATTATGTTTGTCAAGACCTTATCTTCAAACATGGTCATATTCTGATGTACTAGAGATTTAGGAATTTGAAATATGAGTTTTTGGTGGGACATAATCCATCCTAAAACATGGAGCATGAGGTAGAAGAATCAGAGATGACACCTAGCAGAGTAATCATTAGCTGAAGCAGAGAGAAGATTGGTTTGATTTGAACATGCCATGTTGGGAGGCTTGTTATGTATCCCACTGGAGATGTTGGGTAGGCGCTGAATGCTATGGCTATGATTTGAAAGAGTAGTTGGAGCTAGAGAGACAAATTTTATAGTTGTTGACATAGGGATGCTATTAAAAGCCATGAGATTAGGCCAGATGCCTAGGGGAGTGAGTGCAGATAACAAAGAGGACTAAGGACTGAACCCCAGGATACTCCTTCCTATAGGAAGAAGAAAAATTAGCAAGAGAAGAAGCTGAAAATTAGAGATAGAAGGAACCCAGGTATTGTGGTATTCTGGAAGCCAAATGAAAGCAATGTTTCCACAGGTGAGGTCAGGAAAGATGAGTACAAATAACTGGCCATTGGGTTCATATTGTGGGTTCATTGATGACTTTGATGAGAGTAGCTTCAATGACATGTTAGAGAAAAAAGCCGGATTTATGAATGTTGAAGAACCATAGGAGAGGAGTTGGAGATAGCACCTATTTAGAATGCTGAGTAGTTTGGTTGAACGTGGGAGTAGAGAAATGAAAAGGGAAATATATATAATTCATAATTAGTGAATACTGGATGTATGTATCTTATGGTCATATACAAAAATGTATGACTATATGTATACATATTTACATGGATCTATACATAGATGTATAGTGTGTGTATTTTATATACACATTTATAGGTATGTGTACTTGAAAATATACATTATGATCAGTCTAGCTAAATGCTGCTGATGAATTTTTAACTGGAAGTTTATTCTCAGTGCAATCTTCCTTAATTTAAACTTTGACTTTATTTTTTTACAGGTTTAAGAAATTTGATGACAAATACCTTCGGAAGCTTTTGATTCGGGAAAACCAACCCAAGTCAAGCATTGTGTCCTTATATAAAAAACTTGAAATAAAACATGCCATTGAGATGGCAGAGACTGGGATGATAAGCACTGTCCCTTCTTTTGCATCACTAAAGTAAGTATAGTTTTTACAAATTAAAGTTAGTATTAATAAATTACAGTGATAGTTTTTGAAACCAGTCATAAAAATATACAAATTCATCTACATCCTGGACAGAGGCTTTAAGATGCTACAGAATGAGATTATGGTTAAAAAGCCTAGACATGAGTAAACACATTTGTATATATGTATATTTACATACATATACTCATATATATATATATATAATGTTATGTTTATGTTATATTATGTTGTGTTTTTTATTATAACATTTTATTAGGATACAGGCATTATATGGGGGGATTCATAGTGACAATTCTGATTAGGCTTATATTGTACATAGGTTAGATCACCCCCATCTCCTCTCTCCCCCTTAACCTCCTCTCTGCCACACTTAAAGCAATTGCAAAGGTTTCTTTGTTCTATTTCACATAAGTATATGAAGTCCCTCAACCATATTCCCTCCCTATTAATCTTCTTCATTTACCCTCCCCTTCCCACTAGAACCTCCCCACGCCTATTTTACAGTCCTGCCTTTCAATATTAATATTTAAGTTGATGTTCAAAGAGGTTTCTTAATGTATCCCTGCTGTGGGTGTACTTTACTTTGGTCCATTCAACCCCTTCCATTACTCTCCCTTACTTCTTTACCTCCACCTCCCATTTTTCAACAGCTTTCAATACACATCCTCTTATCTTCTACCTTCACAGATGTTATGTTTTATGATATTATTGATGCTCTATCATCTTTTCCTTTCCCTGTTTCCCCAAGTTCCATAGAGTAGTTCCACTGTTACAAACACATTCTACATGAGTTTGTATATGATCATGCTTGTTTTTGTGTATGTTTATCTTTTGTATTTATCTTCCACATATGAGAGAACACATGTGGCTTTTGTGTTTCTGAACCTGGCTTACTTCACTTAACTTGATGTCCTCTGATTGCAACCATTTACCTTCAAACTACATGTCATTATTCCCTATGGCTGAGTGAAACTCTGTTGTGAATATGTACATTTTCTTGACCCATTCATCAGTTCTAGGGCATCTGGGTTGTTTCCATAGCTTGGCTATTGTGAATAGTGCTGCAATGCACATTGGTATTACAGGCGTCTCTATTGCATCCTGACTTACATTCCTTTGGTAGATGCCCAAGAACAGTATCACTGGATCATATGGCAGTTTTATCTTTAGCTTTTTGAGGAATCTCCATACTGCTTTTCATAGTGGTTGTACTAATTTGCATTCCCAACATATGTTGTGTTTTTTGTTCCACTATCTTGGGATGGACCACTAAGAAAATACTCTGTCATTTTTAGGATGTTTGTGATATTATTTTATTTGCTTTGAGAATTCAATACTTGTTGAAAATGAATTAAAGCCCCTTTAGCTAGCATTGGGAAATGGAATATCTTAAGGTGTGTTATAGTTGCTACTATAAATATGCATATAATTATACAGGTATGTCCTCATAGATTATTCACAGTCATAGTTGAATACTTAGAGGGCATAGTAGTGAACATCTAGTACAGTGGTTCTCAACCCAATTTCATATTAGAAATACATTGGGAGCATTCAAATAATGGAGATGTCTGCCCCCCATCCAAACCAATTAAATCAGAACCTCTGCTGCTGAGGCTCAAGTGTAGGCAAATGTAAAATTTCTTCAGGATTCTGGTGAAACCCACATGTTCTTGAGTGTTCAATTTTAATTTGTAATAAAACTTCCTCCCAATTCTAAAAATACCAAAATGTTCTTCAGCCAGGATTGAGATCCACTGATTTAGTCTGTCTCCCTTGTTTTCAGGAGAGAAGTAAGACTTATCCCAAGTCTCCCCAGTAACACTTGCTGAGAGAGGTTATTTCATTGTGTGAACATCATTCCTTCTCTATTATAACAGTGATAGAAATTATAGGTTCCCACTGATTTCTTCTTCTGCTGCTGCTGACTTGGAACTAATTTAAATTAAATGTTTATTAAAATGTTCCCTATGGGAAAGTGAAGTGAGAAAGGAGGAAGCTCCACATCATATCCAACCATCACTATGGTTTTTAACTAGTTTACCATTAAAATGATGGGAGTTGACATGGTTCAGAATAAAAGGTAGGAGTGGACAGAATGGCAAGCAACTAGTGGTAATATATTTAGAAACATCAATGGGCCAAGCAGTAGGACGACTGACTTATCTTCTCAGTTCTGCAAGTAGCTTGCTGTATGCACTGGGGCTGGTCCATCTGTTTCCCTGAGCTTGAGTTTCTTCAACACAAAATGGGAGTGGGTTGAACTTGATCTTTAAGGCTCTCTCTAGCTTTAAAATTTTGTGGTCTTTCTTATGCACACTTCTATTCACAGTTACAGCAAGGGACAACCCCATTATCCAGCTTTTCAAAAGAGAGCCACAGGTTTTGTGATCTCAGATGTTGGAAATCTTATTTTTGCTTCCTGTTGACAGTTCATTTTGAAGCTGGTAGTAAGCAAAGTAAAGACAAGGTTTAGGGTTCAAGAATAGTATAAAAACTAATCTATCTGCGTAGTTGGAAAAATAGGTGCCATGATGACTAGTCTATCTTTCCTAAAATGTTTTCTTTAAAGGAAAATAGAAGCAATCAGGGAGGTAATAAATTATATTTCTGGCAATAGTGGTTTGAATATTGAGAGGATGGACCAAATCACCTTCTAAAAGCAACTAGAAAAAAAGGACAAAATGTATTTTAAAAACTGGCTTGGATCTGAAAAGCACTAGGGCATTGAAGAATTTCTTAGCCAAGAGATAAAGAGGGCAAAGTCCAAAAAGATGGAATTAGTATTTGGGGCCATGTTTCCTCTGGTGCTACCATTATTGAATGGTAAGAGAAAGTGCCTCAGAGTCTTAGGGCTAAACAGAAGTTTGACAGATTAATTGGCCTTGGAAAATATGATTTGAATCCAGAACCTGTCAAGAAGGAGGTGCTCTTGTACTCGACTATTGGTTGTTACTTCAGAGTGCTACACCCTAGCCCTTAAAGGAAAGAAGTTGAGTCTACAATTATATCAATCCATGGATATCAAAGTCATTTGAGATTGCTATTAACCTATCACAGATATTTGAGAGGTGTGAACTTAAATTCTCTGTGGAAGAAAATAGATTATTTAAACAGTGCATTTGTTAATAAGCCACATAAAATGTGAAAAATATCTCATCAGACTGTCAAAAGGACATTATTTACAGAATGACAATAAGAAGAAGCAAGAAAGTAGGATGATGCCTTGTTTAACATTATCTGAGAACATGTGTTGAGTGACACAAATGTTGCACCACTCTCTGCATGTCTAAGAATAGCTGCAAGTGCTGATACAATACAAATACATTTTAGCATGTGGGAGAATTCACAAATACAAAGTCCTCACATAATGGGGATGGACTGTATTTACATGCATAATATAAATAGTGTTTTCAAATAGTTACAATGAGGTATTTAAAAGACAAAGCCTTAGTAAAATATAACTAATTAAATTTCTGTTACAGAAAATAATTCTATATCATTTTATATAAAGAGTGTTAAAAAATAATGAAGTGATAGCCCTATGCATCATTGTAGCTTTTCTTCTTTAAAAAAGTAATTGCATGAGAAGCTGGACGTGTGGTGCATATCAATATTCCCAGCACTTGGGAGGCTGAGGCAGGAGGATTTTGAGTTCAAGGCCAGACTGAGCTACATAATGTAAACCTTTCTCAAAAACCCTCTAAAAGTTACATGAATAGACTCTGAAAACTTATTCACAATTAAACTTGTCATGAATGATTTTGATGCTTAAATAAATTTTAGAAATTCTAGTTACCTTAAAATGGAACAATTTTTAAAATATTTAAGATATACTGAAATATTGAATAATCCCCAAGTGCTATTTTTTATTAATATTCCAAACATGCATAACTTTTTTTTAAATTGGTATTCACCTCAGTAACCAAATGCTGCTAATTTTTAAACTCAGATTCTCCTTCTCAAAAATGGTAAATCTCTAAGGAAGAAAATCACTGACTATAATCTCTGTTGAAAGGTGAAATATTCTTTGTCTAAACTTCACAGTGATTGTCGTGAAGAAAAAATAAGGAAGCTCACACCTGGTGAAATGGATGAAATTCGAGAAATATTATCAAGGAATCTCTATCAAATCCGCCAGAGAGTAAGAATAATTTATTTCCTGAAATATTCAAATACTTTTGGCTAATAGTCTGTCTTTCAGCTATGTGCTGTAATTGAATATCCCATTATTGTCTCTGCCACAGTGGGTCCCACACTGGGCATCTCCTCTTTTCTCAGACCCCTCTCCACAGCATCCCACCTTGTCAGAGCCCCACAATCCTCCCACATACCCCAGCTACAGCTTTGTAGCCCCTGCAGGTTCTGCTGCTGTTGGCTTGGAGATAAAAATTATGTGTTGATCAACTGTGAAGAAATGAACCAATTGTGTGTACGTATGTGCGTGTGTTTTATGGAAATAGCTTTATAGCGTAGATAAAGTATGGAATCCTTTTTGTTATTCATAAGGTGCTATAATTCCTTCAGTGTCTTCTGAGTCACTTATTTCACTGCATTTCCATCATTAACACCTCATTCTAACAATTTGCTAGTAAGATTGCTAACGTTCACAGAGTGTGTACAATTTGCCAAGTCTCACTGTCAGCACTCTGCTTGTATTAACTGGTTTGATTCCCCAACAAGAGGTAGGTATTACTATTGTCTCCATTTCACAGATGAAGAAACAGAGGCAGAGGGAAGCAAAGTGGCACAAAAGCCACTCAGCTTGTGAGGGTTCTTCCTCACTCCTGCAGAAGCCATACACTCAGTGTCTTAGCTGGTTTCCCCAGGCTTCTCCCATTCTGTCCACATGAGTGTACTTTTACTCTAAGACCCTTTCATGGTAGAATTCTCCTATTTAAAATGAAACAAAACAATAGTTGTAGCTTCCAGGTGAAACACCTTTTTCAGAATTTGGTGTCTCTATTTCTGAGCTCTACTTTATCCAACCTTATTTCTACATTTGCTTCACTCAATAACTCCAGAAGTCCATGGACTGCCAAGTTCTGTCCTCCTCCCTTGACCTATGTAGTCTCCTCCTCTCCCTCTCCCTTCCCCCTTCCCCTATCCCTCCTCCTCCTTCTCCTCCTCCTCCTTCCTTCTTCTTCTCTTTCCCTCTCTCCCTCTCCCTCCCTGCCTTAACCCTTGGGGGTCTGCCCTTGCTTCCTGTCAGCTGCCACAGAGCCTCCAGTTTTTAAGTTTTCCCCAGCAACAACCGTATTACCCTGCAGCCCTATCCTTTAAATAAAGATAGCTCTTGGAGCTCATATGGAGAAACTTGTTTTAACACTTAATTTCACAATTTTGTATTATATTGTTAGCCTTACATGACCAAATTCATAGGAAACTTCTCGAGGTAGGAGTAGAATCTTGTTCAATGCAACTTTGCATGTCTTATGCGGTCTAATATAGTTCTTGACACAGGGTAGTCCCAAGAAGTACCTGCCAATTCTATCAGGGAGTGAACGTAACTACAAATTATGATTTTTTTAAAGGAAATGCATTGTATGCAGTCTATGAAACAAAAAATGAATGATAGGGACAGCCCTAGTTTAGAAATTTTACTGGGACATGTTTGTTACCAGTGAGGACAACTTCCCAAAGTGACAACTTAGTTGAGAAAAGGACAAGTTCTGAAGTTCTTAAAAGGACATGGCACCACCAAGTGGTTCAACATGGTTTGCTTTTACATCAGTAATTCCTATTCAATACAGTGTATCAAAATGACCTGTATTTTTCCTATTAATGATCGATAAAATACAAGGCATTTCAAGGTAGACCAGGACACTGAATGAATGCAATTATTTTTCTAATTTCTAATTATTTTTCTTCTTCTTACTGAAGAAAAAAACACATTCATTGATTTTTATGAAAGGATGAATTTTTTTCAAAATTTTAAAGTGTTAACTTTTGTACTTTTGATTTTGATTTTGTTTTGTTGCTCTGCATGGGAGTTGTAGGTACCTAGCTGAGGAGCAAATTTAAACAGAGTTGTACAGTTTTGGAATTTGGGGGGAACCGATCAGTCTTTTGGTAAGCGGTCACGTATGTGTTTTGTCTCAGACTTTGTCGTATAACAGACACAATCTGACGGCCGACACGAGTGAGCGACAAGCCAAGGAGATTCTGATCCGCCGTCGACACAGCTTGCGAGACAGCATCAGGAAAGACAACAGCTTGAATCGCGATCGAAGGGTAACCGACTGGGACATCCAGGAGGCAGAAGGCTTCCAAGGGTGGAGCCAGCAACTGTTCTGCTGGTGGTTCACTCTGCCTATTGAACAGCTCTGAGAGGGTCAATTCCCAGAAATTCTGGGATGGAATTAATAATAAAGTCATTTCAGCACATACCGTGGCACTCAGCTGCTGTGGTCCCAACTAGTCAGAAGGCTGAGGCAGGAAGAAGACTTGCGCCTAGGAGGTTGAGGCCAGCCTAAAAAATATAGTGAGTTCCATCTAGGAAAAAAAGAAAAAGAAAGGAAGGAAGGGAAGGAAGAATGGAAGGAGGGAGGGAGGGAGGAAGGAAAGAGACAGTGAATAATAAAGTCTTTCCAAATGTTTCTTGAACACCTGTTACATTTTAGGCACTGTTGTAGCCACATGGAATACATTGGTGAACAAAATTTTCAGACTGCTGTATGTTTGTAAGATTCCTATTCTAGTGGAAAGAAAGCTACCAGCAACAAAATCTAAATTATTTGTTATGATCAAAATGATAAGTGCTATGGAGAAAATATTTCTTTTAAAAAGGGCCAGGGAAGGAAGTTGGTAGTAGAGGGAGATAGTCAAATTATAATTTTAATCAGAATGGCTGGCCCAGGCTACCATGACTGGAAGATGATACAGTCACGCACCACATAATAATATCATATGTTCTGAGAAATGCTTTGTTGGACAATTTTGTCTAGAGAATGTCACATAGGGCACTCACACAAACTAAGAGGGCCATGGTGTCACTAGGCAATATAATCATAAGGGGCCACTGTTGTCATTTCAGCTGGTCTTTGACTGAACTGTTGCTGTGTACAAATGATTATATTTGAGCTTTCTAACCTGAGGCAGCAACATACCAAGGGTTGAAGGTGGGCACGCCTGCACGTTCTCTGGGGAACTGCAAAAGCCCAGAGTGACTGAGGGATATGAGTGTTCATGGTGCACTCTGCTCAGCTGTCTAGTTGATCTAAGGCATTGTCAGTAGATAAGGAAAACCATTTACAAATGATGTAAGGATCTACTGATTTAATATGACAGGCATTACATCACATTTTTAATGAGATTCTGTACTGGGTCATCAGAGATCAAAATTATGTGTGAATGAGATTTATCTTCTTTACATGTAAAATGTAAGTGTTCATTAAAAGTGAATTATAAAAACTAAAGACTATCATTTGAATGCCACTAAATTAACTTTTGAAATACTTTTCAAGATTTATTAAAGTAAATAAAACTTAAATATGCTACATTTTTAACACCTTTCTTCCTCTGTCTGTCTATCCGTCCATCACTCTACCTAATCTGATATATATTCTATATTGTCTCTCTATATATGTATTCGAAGTCTTTCTAAGGGACTTTATTCTTTAAGAAGAACCAGTGTTTTCATATCTTGCTTCTAATGGTCCCCCTTATTTTTATTTTTCTTAGTACCAATCTCCATTAGGTTTTGGAAGGGACTTGGATATTTCAGTTACAATTGCTTGTCAGAAAATAACTTTGGAATGAAGCACTACAATTGTATTTTAAGACCAAGTTTTGCCAAAAAAAAATCAATTTCTAATATACAACTGATACCCTTTATGTAATCTGAGTACATTTTCTATCTCTTTTACAGGCTTCTACTTCCACCTCCCGATATTTATCTTTACCTAAAAATACAAAGCTTCCAGAAAAGCTACAAAAGAAAAAGAATATTTCTAATGCAGGTAATGAATATAACTGGAGTGAAAAGAAACCTTTTAGATTTATTTACTAGTGCTTTAAAAATAAATTTTCTTGTTATTTTTCTTTACTAGGGATGAGTTGAATATCTTGGAAATTTAAAATAGTAACAGGGTGTCTTTTTTTAAATCATTGCAACCTTTTTGAATGGCTTCCTATGAAGATTATAAATTATCTAATTGCTTATTTTCCATAACATTTCTTTAACATAGCAAAATTAAATATTGCTACCATGGGGCTACTGAGAAGGAAAATATACAGTTGTAATTCTGAAATGTGTAAAAATGTACAGTTCTGTAGTAATTCTAGTATATTTTCATAGATACCATATATTTTACTTGAGTGTAGTTACTAAAGCTTTTCCCCAAGGTCTAATATTTCTTTGTTTGATGGTAATTTTCATGTAGATACCAAGCTATTTTCTGTGAATCCCAAAACCATGTTAGGATACAGTTATTAACATGTGGATGGGGTAGAGCAATAATTAAAACCCCTTTGCTCCCCCCCACCTTTTTAATTAAATTAACCAACATGAAAAAGTCTTAAGGATTGCTGGTGGTAACGAAGGAAAATGTAAGAAATAAGAAGGGCAGGCAGGGGACGATAAGACAGCTGCAAATATTCAAAATCATGGCCTGTCTTGTCGCTGTATGTCCAGAAACATGTTCTCTGTTCCCAGGAATCTCAACTCCTGGGCAAGTGGCCCATCCCTCCTGCTGTCCTCCCCACTGAACTCCAGCATCTGAATCTGACTCTTACCATGCTTCCTCCCTTTGTTTAGGATGTGTTCATTGGGGTTTTATTCCTTCCATGGAAATATAAAGGAACTCAGCAATGCTGTATATGCAATTCTAGGCCAAGGAAAGAACCTAAACAGCAATAGGTGATGACCAGACTGCTTACTGTGTAACAGACTCAGAGCTAAGCTCCTCTGGGAACATTCCTGCAGGGAAGCTGAGGGCACAGCCACCACTGCCAGAGGGTCTCAGTTTGAATTCCAGGCCCACTACTTAATAAAAACCTCTTCAAAAATTGTTTTTGAATGTACTGGGGATTGAACTCAGGGCTTTGTGCTTGCTAGGCAGGTGCTCTACCATGAGCTACATCACAAATGTTTTTGCTTAAAACCCTTGTTCCTTCCTATTATTGCTTATACTCTCTCTTCAACAAAATTAGAGATAAGGGCAAAATAGTTTCTGCCAGGTATTGAGGGGGTGGG